AATTGATGTGTACATAATATTTGTGCTTGTTTAATTGATTGAAATGTAATAGTTGATTTGTTGATTTCAATATGCATTATGTTTAATGCAAAACTATCTTCAAGTCTTCCTTTGTATCAAAACAATCATCTTTCTTGATACGAATAATTTTTGTATACAAAGCTATTTTTGATACGAATAATTTTTGATACAAAGGAAGTCTTCCTTGTTTCGAAACGATCTTTGCTTGATTTGTTAACTTTTAGATGATAGCCATCTTCCACACATTTCGTATACAAAGCTATCTTCAAGTCTTCCTTTGTATCAAAACAATCATCTTTCTTGATACGAATAATTTTTGTGTAACAATCAACTGCTATCTTTACCAACTCTTCTTCCGGTATCTGAAGTAATTCTGGCATATTCCAGTTATACTCCCGTGTCATTTTCTTCGGGGACTTTTCTTTGGGGATTTCTTCTTCTTCTTTTTCTTCTTCAGTGTTATATGAATTACAGAATGGATGTTCAACATGTTCATTTACAGTCGTAACTTCCTCCTCATTATCATCAACAACATTTTCCTCGGCAACGACTGTTTCATCATCAAAATTCGGGTATTGACCAATATCAAAATCATTACACGCATGGTCTGTTTCTTCTTCTGAAAATCATCAAAATCCGAGTATTGACCAAGATCAAAGTCCGGGTATTGACCAAGATCAAATTTCGAATACTGACTAGTACTCATAATTTTTTCTGTTGGCTCATCATCGTCTAACTGGTCAACACGAAAACCGGAATTTGGTGCTGACAGTTGATTGGGATTTGGATTAGGGAAAGGTTGTGGGTTTTGAGATTGTGTTTGGTATTGGAAATGTGGTGAAACAAAATTTGCTTGGTGATGAAATTGTGGTGGAACCATTAAATTTTGAGCACTATAAACTAGGGTTGAAAAACTTAGTTGATTACTACCCGCTACTGACCCAACTTCACTACTTCTAGGTTCAACAACATACAATGTAACATCATCACTTGAAACACTAATGTAAGCAATGAATCGTTCAACATCTTCATTGTCGGTTAAAAAATAAACTTTACCATTTCTCTGATAAGATAGCCTAAATCCACTTAGGGGCTCTAAATTCAATTTATTTGCAACACGTAATATTAGAGTTTCATAAGTTAACTTTTTTAATGACAGTTTTAGTCGAAGATTCATGGGTAAAGGCATATATTGTAAAACACCATGAACATTCTCCCATGACCCTCCAAAACACAAATCTATCCAAACATGATCAACATTAGATGATTTCATTATTGTAAATTAATTTACTAAACAAACGAGCTGCGAAACTAAAACCTGTTGCCGGATGGGGAAGGATGTCGTTGGATATAGGAACGGATGTCGCCGGAGAGAGTGATAGATGGAGATGAAATGAGTTGCGATTTAGGGATTTAGGTTATGAGTTGCTGCTGCTGCGTAGTTATATACCCAAAACATTTGTGTTGCGAAACTAAAACCTGTTGCGAATTCAAAAATCGAGTTGTGAATTTGAAATTCAGTATTGCGATAGTCAGAATCTCGTTGCGATTTACAGATTCGCATTGCGATTTACGTAATCGCATTGCGATTTTCCAAATTCGCGTTGTGATTTACGTATTCGCATTGCGAATTAGGAAAATCGCAATGCGAATTTGGGAAATCGCAACGCGAATTTGGGAAATCGCAATACGATAGTCAGAATCGCGTTACGAATTTGGAAACTAATTTGCGATACCGGAGATCGCGTTGCGAATTATCGATCGCATTGCGATTTAGTTGGTCATTTTGGCAAATCCAAAAAAAGTTAATTAAAATCGTATATTATAAGGCATTTTTTGTCACTGAGGTTATTTTCTCTTTTATCATTATACCAACTTGAAACTGGACCTCTACACTTTAAATTCAATTCTCTTCATGTGCATTTTTTATCTTTTTCTCACTCCGATGTGACTTGACAAGCCGAATTATATAATTTTGAGAGCCATTAAAAAGGTTTAATATCAAAATTAGTCCTTAATATTTATTAAAATGTTCATTTTAATATCTATATTTTAGAATATAATCAAAATATTTTATTTTAGGATAAAAAAATTCCTCTATTAATGAAAACTGTTAGTTAACAAACAATTAACGCTCCAAAACATGAAACTTTTTATCTTAAAATAAAATGGTAAATACTAAAATGGTCTAGAAAAAATAAGAAGAGTCAATGTGACTATTTGATCAAATGTTAAGAGACTTTTTACCCTAAAATAAAATACGAAAGAGTAAAATACTTCAAAAATAATAAGATTAAAAATGATATTTTGATAAATATTAATAGGTAATGTTCACATTTTGCCCATTGAAAACGATGGAAGCCCAATTTTACTTTCACCCCCAAGATCTCTAAAACCCTAGCTCTCCTCTCTCATTAATGAGCTATTAAGACCATCTCCTTCTCTTAGCTGCCTTACCCCTTCCAAAAGCACCAGCTTCACCTACAATGGTATCTCTCTCCTCTCCAGAAGCCTTATTCAAAGTCATTTTTTTCCACGTTTTGTTTTCGATCAGTTTTTCGTTTCAATTTCAGGGTATCGACTTGGTCGCCGGCGGCAAGAGCAAGAAGACAAAGAGAACCGCTCCTAAGTCCGATGATATCTACCTCAAGCTCCTCGTCAAGGTTTCTTCTCTTTTGCAGTCGTTTATATGTTCTTTCTTCTCCTTTTGTTTTGTTTAGTGAAGAAAATTTGAATGTTTTTTTTTTTGGATCCGTGACCAGCTTTACCGATTTCTGGTAAGGATAACAGGCAGCAAATTCAATGCAGTGATTTTGAAGCGGCTGTTTATGAGCGAAGTCAACAAGCCTTCTTTGTCTTTATCCAGATTGGTTCAATTCATGAAGGGCAAGGTAATATTTTAGTTCTTTTGAATTTGTTTTCCAAGGGTTGTTTTTCCACCTAAGTTTTTTTTTTTTTTTGAATTTTCGTGTTATACTGATTGATGTTATGTTGGTTTGATCTATCAGGAAGATAAGATTGCAGTAGTAGTTGGGACTGTCTTGTGTATGAAGTACCGGCGCTGAAGGTTCTGCACTAAGGTTCACCGAGACAGCGAGGGCAAGAATTGAGGAGGCTGGTGGGGAATGTTTAACATTCGGCCAACTTTCTCTTAGAGCACCTCTCGGACAGAACACGGTATGTTCTTATGACACATGTTGAAACTGAAAAATCTGGGTTTTTTGTTGGAATTGTTAGCTCGTTTTTTCTAGATTTGGAATGTTTTGTATATTTTTGGTAGGATACATAGGTGATCAAACTTGGTAGTTTAAATTGTATGAATTGGTAAAGTTCTGATGGTTCACAACATTGAAGTTTTGAGATTCGGCATCTTATTGGTTCACTGTTTGATTATGGCTATTCTAAAATGCAGTTGAGGGTTAACATGAACGGTGCATTTTAGATGGCTATGGGGTATTATGAATTTTTAAATGGTTGTTGTATTCATCTTATGTTACCATCCTTTTTCCTGTTATACGCCTCAATCGAGATCTGACTAACTGAATAGAGGTCCGATTGAGTTTTGAGGTGACAGGAACACGTATGCATATGCAATGGCAACTGTTTTTTGCTTTTCTCTTTCTGCCATTTGTTGTTAACTCCATACATTCAAGATATTTGACAATTCAGCTGTAAAGACACTCTTTTATTCTCTCTGTTAAAATATGCTTGATATGAAACTGAAGACCGCGGCGCTGAATCTATATGTATATTTTTTCCTTTTACCAGTTATTTTTAATCGATCTGTGCTTTATAATTTGGGTCACAGTGGCATAGACCATATTGGTTAGGTTGAAGACCTATTTTTGTGAACTCTTAATATATGCAATCCTCCTTTATAACATGCTTTGTTTCTTCCAGACTACCCTTTGAATTAGGTCTTCGAAACCATTTCTCTGTTTATCTTTTGGTTCAACATTTTCACTGAGGTTTTGACAAAAAAGAATTGCTTTCAGATACTGATAAACATACTGGAATGGTGAAAATTGACTTCAATTATATGATGAAAATCTGCAGGTTCTCCTCCGAGGTCCTAATAATGGTCGTGAGGCTGTGAAGCACTTTGGACCAGCTCCCGGCGTGCCACACAGCCACACCAAGCCCTATTTGCGGACGAAAGGAAGGAAATTCGAGAGCGCTAGAGGAAGAAGGAACAGCAAAGGCTTCAGGGTTTGAGATTCCAAATGCCCTTAATAGAACTTTTCAACCTATCACCATGAAAATGGGAACTTTTCCTTCTACCTCGCTTTTCTCTTCCATGGTTGTAGTTCGGATTCTTTGGTAATTTTTTTTATGGATATTTTAGAGTGAGTGATTGAATGTGGGTTTTTGTTGTTGGATATCTATGAAGATTAAATATCAAAGAGATTGCATTGCCTCATTACTGCACTGAATCATGTAATGATGACTTGATATTTCTATGACATGGTTTGTCACTGCTACACTTTCGATCTAGGAACGCTTGGAGTGATGGAAAGTGATTATTTTTCCGAGAATTTAGTTTGTGCAAGAATGCTCTCCGTATTTGATAGCGAGATCTTTTTGGGTAAACTTCACCTTTAGTATCCCAATTATCACTCGTTAAAAAAGTAATAGAATATTTGATGTGTCAACTTTTTATTGGTTATATGACATTATCTTATGGTGATGTTAGAATCACGCTAATTTTTTTAACGGTGGGATCAAAATGAAACCAAAATATAATGAAGTATAATTTTATTAATTTTAAAGGGAAAAAAACAGTTGGGAGACCAAAATTGAATAAAAGTGATAGTTAAAGTATTAAACATGTATTTTACCCCTTTCAGTAGTGGACATGGATTACAAATTAATCACCGGAGTTTTCCTCTTTAGGAACCTAGAGTTTTGCACAACGACATTTTGATCTCTTTTAAACTAAAGAGAGATTAATAAACTGTTTCATTTATTTCATTATTAGCTTGACCTAAACCATGCTTATATTTAATCATAACCAACATTGAGTTCCATAAGCAAAAACAAAGCATTGCAGAAATGGTAATACAAGGAAAGCATCAAATGTAGCAAAAGTAGGCTCCTTGCAATGATGAAATTATTATATGAACCATTCTCATCACGCCATTCACGATCCCACCCACTAAAAACCACTCGTTTAAATTAATGACATGAAAAAAGGGTGAGATGAGTGATTTTTACCGGTTGAGACTACAGGTACGATGAGGGTTAATGAAATAATTTCTCCGTGCAATGGCTTAACACCCTACCTTATAGTAGTCAGAACTTCTTAATGAAGTCATAAATGTGCATGCTAATCTCCTCAGGTTTCTCTTGGTTGATAAAATGGGCTACTCCTTCCATCACTACTACTTCCTGCAAGAAAGGCACATCTTGCTTGAACCCACCGTTGTGTAAGTAGTCCTTCATGCCGGGGAGGTTGTAGGTAATGTCCAGGTCGCCAACTAAAAACTTAACCGGTACTCGGATTTGTACTCCACTCCATGGTGCCATCAGCTCCCAGTTTCTGCAACAAGAAAATATCCAAGTACCGTCACTACCTTCAACTACAGATTAAAAGGAAAAGAGAAGTAAACGAGTTCAACAATCATAGCTGGACAATGTGCACGTACAGATTCAAAGCTCGATAGTAGTTGAGTGGTCCTGTAAATCCCTTGTGGTTGAATTTGGAGGCAAAGTAATTGATGTCATCTTGTGAAAGCCAAGAGGGCAATGGAGGAACAGGCATCCCTCTAAACCCTATTTCTTTAGGTATACAAGGTGGTCGTGGATTGCGAGATCCGAGAGTTATCTGGAACAGTTTTGCAGTATCCATCTGCGCAAAATCCTCTTCCGTCTCACCGGGTTCCTACAGCAAAAAGAAAAGAAAAGATGAAAACCAAATTGAACAGATATGTAGCATATAAGAGTTCATTAATTGAACATTCATTTAAGTTGGTAGGGAGCGTTATATTTAACTTCCGATCAATGATTTAAATAGTGGTTCATTATACGAATAATGGTCACCGTATAATGGTAAAAGTGTCATTATATCCACAAAGACCACAATAGTATCCGTCATTACCGCAATCAAGGTAAACACAACGCATTGAAAACGTGACCGCTCTGACAATCTACAAGGTAGTATATGTTCACACGTGACAATGTATCATTTAACAACGAACACTATTATAGATGATATTCTCGAAACCTGAGATCTTTAGGAATATCAACTATCACTTCGTTGGTGGGTGTAAGATCACTTAAATGCTAAGAACTCCCTTACCCAGAAACAGGTAGGGGACTCCAATTATTCCAAAATCAGAAAATCGATGCTTCTCAACTACCAACAAGAAGACCAAATTCCCAATAATAAAAGCAATTCCCTCATCAATTCAGAAAGCGAGTTAAAAGATTACCTGAAACCTGCAAACATAAAAATCGTCACCAAACAGAGCCCTCATCCCGTCAACAGGCTTCACCGTGGGGTGCCGAGGACGATAAGCGACGCTCATGTTGACCAAAGCTTTGACTTTATCAGGCCTCAACTGGCAAAAATGCCAAGCGATGTTCGCACCCCAATCATGCCCGACCAAGAACACCTTGTCCACGCCAAGGGCGTCGAGGAGGCCCACCAGATCCCCCACGATGTGGAGAACGGTGTAGGAATCCGCCGAGGGAGGCGCGTCGGTGTCACCGTAGCCACGGAGGTCGGGAGCCAAGCAGCGGTAGCCGAGGGATGCCAGCGATACGAGCTGGTGCCGCCACGAGTACCAGAGCTCAGGGAAGCCGTGCAAGAAGAGGATTTCCGGGCCTGAGCCGAGCGATGCCACGTGCATTTTTATGCCGTTGGTGGTCACCGTGGAGTGCTCTATCTTCTCCATGTAGGATTTCAGACGATCTTTTGGCTTGTGCTTTGTCTTTTTAGGGTATTTCGTTGGGTGGGGGGTTTGCCTGTTTCAAAAATATCTATAGCAAAAATACAAAAGGCAAAGCAGATACAACTTGGATAAGAAGTGAAAACCCAGAAAACAATTGGTAATAACAAGGTAAAATTATTGGATAAAACAACATTACCATCCCGCTGTCGTAGAATTAAAAATTACTTAACATGGTCAAACAACGTAATAATTCACAACTATGCTATCTTCGAAAGTTTATATTTAGACTGATTTAATTCGAAAAATATTTTTTTTTAAATTTTGACGAGTTATCAATTCAATTTTTGAGTTCGAATCGAGTTAAAATTTTGAAATTTCAAGTTACTCGAAAAATAAAAAATTTGACTAAGTATTTTGACAGTTTTATAATTTAGTCTCTAATTTCATTATTCATTCAATTCCTCCTTCATTTTATGTTCATTTTTACCAAATTAGAACCGTATGCTTCTAAACCATCTTAGAATACATACGTACTTTCATTTCCTCTTTTTGATTACAAATTTTCTATTTATCAATTTAATCCCTCATTTTTTCATAATTTACTTATTTCTTCAATTAATGCTTTATTATAAGTCATTTTTTAAATCAAATTTGAACCACATGCTCATATACCACAATAGAATACCTATGTAACTTCAATTCTTACCTTTTCACTAAAAATATAATCTCTTTTTTATTTAGTCCTTAAACTTTTCATTTTACTCAATTTGGTCTTTTGACTACAATTGTTTGTAAATTATTTCTTCCTATCAATCCCTTGACTCCTTTATATTCTCATCAATATTTTACTCTCAAAATAATTTCTTTAAAATATAATATTATGAATATCTTTTTTATAATTTTAGATTGTATTTATATATTAAATAATGTTATAATGTGAAAATAATAAAAAATATATAGAAACTCAAATAACTAGACTCGAAAAAATTTTAAGGTAAGTTCGAGTTGTAAAATATGACTCATCAAGTCGAATTTGTTTTACTTTACTCGACTCGATTAAATGCTCACCCCTATTTGTATTAATAAATATGCAATATTTGGGTAAATTACTTCACAATGTATAAATTTATGGATAAAATAAATGTTTGGTAACTAAACTATAAGTTTTGATATGTTTTAGCTCCTAAACTTTTAATTTTTTCAAAACCATACCTTAAGTTTAGTTTTTGTTTTATTTTAGTATCCCCATTCAAAATTTAATGTTAAATTTTGGAAAAAAATGAAAGTTTAGGTACTAAAACGGACCAAAACTGATAGTTTAGGTACTAAATGCATTATGTTTTTAACGATAGGTATTAAAATGAAACAAAAACTAAACATTAGGTATGGTTTTGAAAAAATTAAAAGTTTAAGTACTAAAATTAATCAAAACTGATAGTTTATAAACTAAATAAGTAATTTACCTTAAATTTATTCACTTAACTTTATTTTCTTTCATATTTCATTCATTGTATTCTTAATTTTAATAACCAAACCTTTTATATTGATTTTTTTGTCACTTCACGATGACATAAATGACAAGCATCATAATTGTTAAATAAATAAGCTTTTCTCTCAAATAAATAAGCTAATAATGTAGTATAGAGAAGAAAAGGTCGATTCGTGGGGATTTAGAATTTTCCAATGTCGATTTGAATTGATCTTTAACCAATAAATCTGTAAGAAAAATAAAAGGGGATTTAACAAGATAAATTGAATAAATTGGAAAATAAAGAATGCAAGAATAGTAAAAAGATTGAAAATAATTATGATGAGAGATAACATCCAGCTTCGCTTTGCCTTAATTCGTCTCGATCATTGAAATATATTTTACTTCGGATACTTGTCGGTTGCCGTCTACAAGCCCATCCCTTATAACTTACTCTTCTCTGTGATGAACTAATTTTTCAAAATACTATCAACGTTAACGCCAATGCTGTGTTTTAATTCTGGAAAAACTCGTGCTTGTTTTTCTTCCTTCTACCACTCGGACGATCATGGAAAAAGGTGGTATTACGATCTCTAAAGGCTAACCAGTTTACTCTGGATCTTTGGGACCAAAATATCTCTTCTTTGTCCAAAGGTTTCTACAACTCAACTTTAGAAGTGAGGAAACTATCCATATCAAACTCATTACGATTCTTAGAAAAACACCGTTGATTATCTTTCGAAGTTCAACAATCTGAGCACGAAAGTTGGCAGTACGATTGACATGCTAATCTTTAAGGGAGGAACTAACAACTGTTATCTTATCAAAAGCATTTCCCCTTGTGTAGCACCATGCATCTTTAACTCGATAAATGCAATAATCTTCATGGGACCAACAATTATCAAACCTAAAATAATCACCATAATGCTTATCAAAAACATCCATTTACTGCCAGTTAGTGTTGTTAGTAGATAGTAATGGTAAGAAGTGCTCACGTACTCTAAAGAATCTATAAAATTGGGGTACACCAACAACCAATCCTGGGTAATAAGGCATCTATCCAACCTTTCACAAATACAAGGGTTATCATATGAGCCAAAAAAACATGTAAACCACCCTCTTAAAGGCTTGCAATCAGAAAGTTTGTTTCTATCCATAGTAATTCTAAAATCATCGAGCTGAACCCCAGGTTCGTGATGACCCTCATATTTCTCACTATCTAACATAATAGCATTAAGGTCACCCCAAAAAACCAAGGAAAACGGGAAGAAATCTTAAGCATATCAACCATTATTCACATATCAATCTTCAACTTTGGATTGTGATGGTCAGGCATACCAGTAAAATGGAGGAGATCATTTTCCATATAAACCATGAAATCAATATGGATAAATAAGTAAGACAACATCAACATTAACTTCATTAGCTCAAAGAAGCATAAGACTAATACATCTATTTCCCCAATCAACGATGAAGTAACCATTCATACCTAATCTACTGCGGATCATATCACTCCTATTTTGTTTAATCTAATTTAACATAAGAAAATAACGCTAAAAGAACTTTGAGCGATAAATCATCCAAGGGAATAAACTGCGCGATAATTACCCAACTCCTGATAATTCCAACTGAGGAACTTCATGGCTTCAGGTGAGGCTGTCCCATAGCCTCTGTCGTTATCTTTGTAGTCTTACCAGCTAGCCCAACTTTAATATCTCGAGTAAAGGATAGTTTGGATCTTATCAGATGGAATGGTGCTGTAACTTCATCATTACCATAGAGAGTCCTCTTGGGAGCTCTAAGTCATGGATCATCCTCAATAACACCCGTATCCATTGGAACATCAATACAACCAGCTCCAAAACCAGCAATATCCCCGATAGATGAGGTACAGTCCAAGTGTCTTTCTTTCCCAACCCATTATTAGGGGTTCAAACCAACACCTTTAGTCGGTTGTTCAACAACACCTACAATATTGCCTAAAGTATTCATCCCTTCCGAGGAAGTAGAGACAACAACAGTTGGAAAAAACTGAAAGAAGGAACATACTCAAGGTAACATATAGGTCTAGGTTTGACACAGGGCTACTACACAAACACTTTCAGTCAGTCTCTATAGGGTAGTTTTGAGGCCTTTTCATCTGCAAGCATAGAGTAAAGAAAAGTACTATGGCCAATAATCCCACATTTGTAGCACAAGGAAGGAAAACACTTGTACTTTAGCGTGCAGACACAAGGTTTACGCCTTTTCCTTGACCCAAGGAGAACACAATGTCATAAAGGTTGAAGAATATATATCTCAACATGAACCCTAAGGAACTCACCAAGATTGTTTCCAACCAAACACATATCAATAGCAATAACATTACCCATGCACCCTCCAAAGGAAATGCTCATAGCTTTGGTCATTGAACCCAGAGGAAGATTGTAGATGTGAAGCCATATGTGAAAATGAGTAATCATCCAGCCTCTTCTCTGAATCATATGCAAAAATTATAATTGGTCTAAAAATGACGATAAATTCTGGCATCATATGCAAAAGTTATGCAAAAAAATACTAATTTCATGGGGGTTTGGAAACCATAGAGGGGGTTTCAAAATAACAAGGACATTCGGTCGAAATGGTCTCAAAAACACTATTTGGGGTTTCAAAACCTATACTCTGTTTCATTATTAATGTAATTTTAAGCCTTAAGTGATCCCTATTCGGTCCCATGATCACTAAGCTACATAAAAACATGAACTTAGACATAAGAAACCACCCAACATGCAGTACATAACCCATAAACTCCACCTATATAACCCATAAACATTCACTATCTATTTAAAATATATAAAGACTCTTTTAGAGCACAATCAAATACTTTTCAACTCTTAGAAGTATCTTTACCATTATATGGACAATATGAGAAGGAACATGCAAATCACGTATAAGCATTGAGTGAAACGAGTCCTTAAATATCGCTGCATTCAACAAACCATGTCAAAATATGAGTTAAGCCAAATAAGTAAAATGTGTAGTATGGCACTTACGGTCTAGTCATTCATAAGGTAAAAGCATGATTATAAGAATTCTACATACTCAATGTATCATAAAAATAAAGGCCCTTTCATATCATACAAATCCACTAATGATTAATTATTCCAAGTACCTATGCTATCACTCGTATACATGCCACTAATATACCCAAAATACACAAAATATGATGTTTATTGAGGATAGCTTGTAGTGACCCTTGAACAATGATGCAACGTCTCAGACTAATCACAGTCCTCTCAAAATACTTACGTGTGAAGAAACATGCACACATAAGTTTCACTTAGTGAGACAATAATAAGACAATTAAGAACATAATTAAAGTATAACAACCACTTCATAGATATGTTAGAAATCATGCCAATGTTGCATAATCATTAATTATTATCATTATCTTGAAATAACATGATTAATCTTCTCAATTAGATTTATCCATAATATAATGCATGAAGTAACACGATAGAGCTAACTATGATACATGATTCAAAATGGCTCAAATGTCTATAATTCATCCAGATACCACAATGTACACAAATTTATCACAA